CCCGAATCTTTTCAACTCAGAATCGAAGAACCCCCGAATCTTTTCAACTCAGAATCGAAGAACCCCCGAATCTTTTCAACTCAGAATCGAAAAACCCCCGAATGTTTTCAACTCAGAATCGAACAACCCCCGAATCTTTAAACTCAGAATCGAAGAACCCCCGAATCTTTTCAACTCAGAATCGAAGAACCCCCGAATCTTTTCAACTCAGAATCGAAGAACCCCCGAATCTTTTCAACTCAGAATTGAAGAACCCCCGAATCTTTAAACTCAGAATCAAAGAACCCCCGAATCTTTAAACTCAGAATCAAAGAACCCCCGAATCTTTAAACTCAGAATCGAAGAACCCCCGAATCTTTTCAACTCAGAATCGAAGAACCCCCGAATCTTTAAACTCAGAATCAAAGAACCCCCGAATCTTTAAACTCAGAATCGAAGAACCCCCGAATCTTTTCAACTCAGAATCGAAGAACCCCCGAATCTTTAAACTCAGAATCGAAAAACCCCCGAATCTTTTCAACTCAGAATCGAAGAACCCCCGAATCTTTTCAACTCAGAATCGAAGAACCCCCGAATCTTTTCAACTCAGAATCGAAAAACCCCCGAATGTTTTCAACTCAGAATCGAACAACCCCCGAATCTTTAAACTCAGAATCGAAGAACCCCCGAATCTTTTCAACTCAGAATCGAAGAACCCCCGAATCTTTTCAACTCAGAATCGAAGAACCCCCGAATCTTTTCAACTCAGAATTGAAGAACCCCCGAATCTTTAAACTCAGAATCAAAGAACCCCCGAATCTTTAAACTCAGAATCAAAGAACCCCCGAATCTTTAAACTCAGAATCGAAGAACCCCCGAATCTTTTCAACTCAGAATCGAAGAACCCCCGAATCTTTAAACTCAGAATCGAAAAACCCCCGAATCTTTTCACCCAAATCGAAGAACCCCCGAATCTTTTAAACCCAGAATCAAAGAACCCCCGAATCTTTAAACTCAGAATCAAAGAACCCCCGAATTTTTAAACTCAGATTCGAAGAACCCCCGAATCTTTCAACTCAGAATCGAAGAACCCCCGAATCTTTAAACTCAGAATCGAAGAACCCCCGAATCTTTTCAACTTAGAATCGAAGAACCCCCGAATCTTTAAACTCAGAATCGAAGAACTCCCGAATTTTTAAACTCAGAATCGAAAAACCCCCGAATCTTTAAACTCAGAATCGAAGAACTCGCGAATCTTTAAACTCAGAATCGAAAAACCCCCGAATCTTTTAAACCCAAATCGAAGAACCCCCGAATCTTTTAAACCCAAATCAAAGAACCCCCGAATCTTTTAAACTCAAAATCGAAGAACCCCCGAATCTTTAAACTCAGAATCGAAGAACCCCCGAATCTTTAAACTCAGAATCGAAGAACTCCCGAATCTTTAAACTCAGAATCGAAGAACCCCCGAATCTTTAAACTCAGAATCGAAGAACCCCCGAATCTTTTAAACTCAAAATCGAAGAACCCCCGAATCTTTAAACTCAGAATCGAAGAACTCCCGAATCTTTAAACTCAGAATCGAAGAACCCCCGAATCTTTAAACTCAGAATCGAAGAACCCCCGAATCTTTAAACTCAGAATCGGAGAACCCCCAAATCTTTAAACTCAGAATCAAAGAACCCCTGAATCTTTTAAACCCAGAATCGAAAAATGCCTGAATCTTTAAACTCAGAATAAAAAAAAACCCAAATCTTTAAAATCCAGAATCGAAGAACCCCGGAATCTTTTAAACTCAGAATCAAAGAACCCCTGAATCTTTAAATTAAACTCGGAATTGAAAGAATAATGAATGTATAATTCACAATATTGACAAGATTTATTTACTATTTAATTTTACACATCAGAATATACCCTCACAACACCCTAGCGCTACTATTTTCAATATGGCAAATTTCAACACTTGATACATTTATGTACATTTACAGTGGCGGAAATCTTGGTGGGGCAGGGGGGTGGGGTGGCTCCCCCCCCATCTTCACAGAAAATTGACAAATTTTCGGAAATTTTGACCTAAAAGAGGGTAGCCTGCGTAGCAGGCGGTATTCGCGGGCACGAGAGAATGGGAATTTGCACGAGAGAATGGGAAGCTTGAAATACCGCTAAAAACAATCTTTTCGAGTGCAAATGGGGTTGTCAGAAATTTGAAAGTTTTGTCGGAAATTTAGGAGGCTTTAGCACTGTGCATTTACACTTTGGTGAGATAAATATAAACCATAGTACTAGTAACCAGAAAGCTTCAGATTGAGTGGGATACAATATAAAACAACGGTAACTCTGAAAATAAACGTTTTAATATTCTAGCTTTCGACTAAGATTCAGTGATGATGACTTAATCATAGTGGAAGCTAGAATACTAAAATGTCTATTTTCAGAGTTACCATTGTTTTATATTTTATTAAAATACTCTGTGGTTCCAGAATAGAAGAACCTTCAAATCTTTTAAACTCAGAATCGAAACATCAAAGTTTTGCTTGAATGTATTTTTCACATCAAATCCATCTCAACCCCAGCTTTCTGGTGTTGTTGTTACATCCTACGCTGGTACAGGCCATTCGAGTACTAGCAACCACAGTTCATTAATAAATTTAAGATTTCTTGAATCATCATTAATCATCCCATTCACTTTCATCCACACCATCAGGTTGATCTAACGTCTTTTCATCTTGTCCTTTCATCGACATAATTTTGTCCGTCCATGATGCTTGACTGCCGCCCTCATATTCAGAGGCACTCACATGACCTAGTAAAATTGTCTGGCGTTAGACAGAGCAACATAACAAAGCAGGGCAGAGTGTATTGCAATTTAATGGTTAAAAGGTACATAATTTGTCAGATCATTTGGTTAACACATTGAGCGGCAGCGCTCTACATATGATGAGTAAAATCATCTGGCATAACGCAGAGTAAATAACAAAGTGGACGTATCAGGGTGCAATGCAGCTTATTGGATTAGCATAGCTGCCAAGGTGGAGTGATCTGCATGCGTGAGACGCCATCCACGGATGCAATCTAACGCCCCCCCCCCCCGAAAATTTTAAAAATTTGGGTCTCTGATATGAATTTCCAGAGTTTCATTTCCCAAGACACGATTTATTCACGATTGCTGCACCTTGGATACTGTAATCAGATAGCATTTACACACCAGAAATAGGCTCAATTTATGGCATCAAATGAGGTGTTGACAGCAAATTCACACTGATACTAAACACCTACCCACTCTACTGCATTCACCAGATTAATTTACTGACCAATTTCATAGTGTAAAATAGAAAAACTAAACGCCAAAACATTTCACAGGTTTCCAAAGTTTACATTGCTCTCCAGATTTACGTTTTTTTTATTGAACTCTTCAATCACAAGCAGCCAAAGCAGCTCATGCGCGAGATAAATAATACTGCGTGTGTGAGCGTGAGAAAATATGCTGAGGCGTGTGTCTCACGCATAATGTGTGAGACTTGGTAGGTATGGATTAGCAACCTGAACTTAATCCCAGTGCTTTAATTCAAATCCAATCCTAACCCTTCCTCTAACCCTAACCCACCTTACTGATTTACCCTAATTCCTTATGCCTATCCATTACCTAACCCTAATTATTCACAAGGCATGAATTTAGTAATATAGCTGTAACCTAAATATACGGTTAGCACTTTTTTCCATCCAGCAAACTGCCCTATCGATTTTCTAAAGTCGTTTTTTTGTTCGATTAAGGTTAGAGTTAGGGTTGCGGTTAGAGTAGGGGTAGGGTTTGGGTTAGTTACATAGCTGTTTAACACCTCTTCTACCTTCCGAAAATAACATCGGTCAGTTTGCTGGATGGAAAATAGTGCTAACCTACATATACCTATACCTTCGTCAAGTCTTGCAACATATTCAATATAAGGTCCATTTCCTCTCGTTTTAAGCCGAACACTCTCACCGACATTGACCTCAATATTTCCCAAACTGTTTTCGTTACAAAACACCAGTACAGTATCTGGTTCCAGTTTCGGCAAATGACCATCGAACTCTGGTACATTGATATGCACCAGCAAATCTTGCAGGGTGATTGCCGACGTTTCAAGTTCAACAGTTTTATAGGAAGACATTAAATAACCAGTGTTCACTTTCTTTGTAGCAGACTTCCATGGTTCAACTTCTACCCCAGAATTATCAAACGATCGTTTATACGCTCTGGTAAATGCAAGGTTCATCACAGTATACTGTTGGATTGTTTACCGGAAGTGGAGTCAGTTATTGAAATTCTAAACTTATCTTTATTAACCTTTCCCTCAATAGTCGCGCCTAGGCCTTGTTTGAATCGAAATACAGTCTCCTCTTGCCATTTTTCTTTCCATTTTATGTTTATAATTTTGTTTAGTGCTGTATCGTTGTACAGCATATTAGCTCTACTCATTTTGGGCGTGTTTGGTTAATTTGTTTTCCTTACCTTCGCGCGATGGATTGAGAAATGAGAAGACTGGGCTTGAATTACCGTCGTTTGCACCCAATAATGAACAGGCGCATATAATGAAAAACATGGTCTATTCAAACGTGAAAATCTGGTTGAATAATCAGCACGAGGCTGGCTGAACGTGACTCAATGCTCATATTAAAACATGTCTAATGCTTTTGACAAACATCAAAGTTTCTGTGATCACAGTAGGAATTTTGCATGGGTAAATTCTAAGTTTTGAAGGATTTGTAAGAGAGGTCTGAGCGAACTGATTGAATGCTAAACACAGAGGCAATTTCACGAATCTTTCAAAACTTAAAATTTACCTGATGCAAAATTTCTACTGTGATCTCCAGACTTCGAACAGCAGATGCAAAAACGCTTGCAGTACACAACATTTCTTATATAATCGATCTAGTTTAGTGCTAGATTACTTATATGTTAATTAGCTTAAATAATTTTAATTTACCCTATCATGCTGAAAGTTATACTAAAATAAAAATATTCCAGTGTTCTTTTTGACAAGCGTACATTCTTCCGAATGTGCATACCTGTGTTTTCAGTTTGATTTCAATGATTTTCTCCCATATATTACCTATCTATCTATCGTGCTAGTGAAATTTTATACCTGCAGACATGCTTTATATATTTGAATTAAAATAATTATATTGTCATCTTGCGTTTTAAAAAAAGGTATTTTTCTCGTATAGTTGACTCAGCAAGCGTTATAAGGTAGCAGATTGTGGTCAACTAACTCAACTTCAAAAATGTTGAAATGTTAAAAGAAAATTATACCTAGTCGCGCAATTTTATTTAATTGCGTCAAATTTAAGACTACTACAATGAAAATACATTATTTGATCACCATCTGCTGCGCGATAATGCTTAGTGAAATTCAACAACTGTCTACCAATGTTTATATCATAGATAATCATGATTTTTTCTGTGTTGGTGTACTCAGGTGAATATGATGCTTGTGATGTTACTTTGATGATGTTACTCTGATGTTATGTTCCAAAGGTCGTAGGTTCGATTCCCACCGTAGTCAGGCATATTTTTCAAGCTTGTCCGGTGTGGATATACACGCAGAGTAACATCACAAGCATCATAGACAAATTTGGCTACAGTTTATTTATACCCAATTCACAATAAGATAACTCACATGCCTAATTGTCATTGTTCTAGTTTACAGAAACATAGAAAAGAACAAAGGTAAGTAAACTTTAGAATTATCTACCTGAGTGAATAACTCTTATACAACCAATTCTAATGTTTAGTTCATACCTTTGTTTTATTCTATGTTTTTATAAACTAGAAGAATAGGAACCAGGCATGTGAACACAGATCAGTGCGTGAAGAACGATAGCCAAATTTGTCTAACTTGGCTTCATTTTCAGTGAACCGTTTGAAAGCAG